TGTCTGGGGGGGGGGGGAAAGACAAGCTCTGTGGCTTGGGAGAGGGGGGGAAAGGGCATCTGGAAAAATGTGGGACAGTCTCATGTCGCTGCACCAAGGCTGGGGCTGAAATCAGTGCCCCCCCTTTTCCCTGTCTCACATCACACCCAGGTTTTCAGAGATTTGGGGCTTATTTGGGGCTTATTTTCCCGCAGAGGGAAATATTTAGGTGTCCCTGGGGGGGTTACCACCAGCCCCCCCAAGATGCTGCTCATCTTCCCCAGCTCCCCCCCCCCTCTCCCCAAGCTCCCCTTCCCAGCACGGCCATAAAGCAGCCCCGAGCCCTTTCTGGCAGAGGGCAGGGATCGAGGCTGCACATGAACTCGCCTGCACAATCCAGGCTCCAGCCTCGGGGCTATTTTTAGCAGTTCCCTCCGAGATGCTCTTCACTTGCAGTTTTATTTGTGAAAAGGGGGGGGGGGAGGAGGGAGGGCTGGATCCTGGCACGTCCCCACTGGCTGGGAGGCTTATCCCAGCCTCAGCGACAGGCACAAACCGAAAATCATCCGTCAAAGAGCTCCCGTGTCCTGGCAGCAGAGGGGGGACATGATGGCTTGGGGGGGGGGCTGCGGTCAGCCCCTACCTCCCCCACAGCCTCCAAAATCCTTGGGTGAGTCCCTGCCTCTCCCCGTGCTGCTTCATGGGCTCAGGGACCCCGTGTCACCCCTCAGCACCTGCACTGGTGTGGAGCAGGATGCCCCCCAGGCTGGTGGGAGCAGCAGGGATTTTGGGGAGCCCACCCAGCACCCCAGGACCTGGCCCCATCTCCAGCCAGGGCAGCGAGGAGCAACCCAGGGAGTCCCTGTCTACCGGGTCCCCCTTCCCCCAGGAATGGGGAAAGCCATGGGGACCATCCATCCCGCAGCAGATCCCAGCCCAGGGAGCATCACCCGCGTCCCCCGAGCTCCCAGCACCGGAGGCTAATGACGCTAACGAAGCAAACCCAGTTTGCAAGGTACAGCGTGGCCTGGGGTTGGTGTGTCCCCGTTTGCCAGTGTCCCTGCAGATCCAGAGCAGCAGGAAGGACCGATTTCTCCCCAAGGAGTCCCTGACAGAACAGGGAGGGAGGGAGGAACCTTCCCCTTTGCCACAGGATAGGGAAGGGACAGTGGCTG